AAAGGGGGTGTGTGTCCTGCAAATCCTCTCCCATTAGTCATGGGGCAGGAGTCATGGAAGGCACAAAGGCGCTATTGTCTTGATGTCCTACTTTTTGGCTTTCAATAAACAGTGGTTGGACACTGAGGGAGCAGAATGCTTGGTTAGATAGGCTTTTGGTCCGATCCAGCACAACTCTTGTTTTGTTCTTAATCCTTGACCAGAAGAGTAATGGAAGCCTGGGTGATGAGGGGATTGTGGAAGATGTGCCCAGGCCTCACCTAGTAACAGCCTGATATTGTGTTTGCAAACATGCTGAAAGGAAAGAGGCCAAAATGGTTCTGTTATGTGCTAGGAACATAATTTCATGAATGGGTGCTGCATAGAAGTGAACTCAAGTGAATTCCTTTTGCTTATTTCTACAACTAGCTCAGTTCTTATGTTTTGGGAACAGTCTCTGCAGGAGAAGGGGAAGGACGCTATCAAGTGCTAAAGAATCCTTTTGCAAACAACGAATGCCCCGCAAGCCATTTAAATCCCCTCTTAACTTATTTGCTGGTGCCATGAATGTAGGGTGTAAGAACTCTTGCTGTTCTGGCAGGCCATAATGTTTAAAAATACCTTTTCTTCATTTTAAGAGATTAGGGAATGAAATATTACTAAGGGGTTCTTTAAGAACTTGTATTTTTATTTTCAGTTACTTATGTTGTTAAACATAGTCTCTAGCTATCTGATTGATAGATTAGCTGGAGATTCTGTTTATGTGAAGTTGTTAAAGTGCTAGACAATGCCCATGTATTAAATCCAGTTAAACAAACAAAGTGTCCAATGATCTACTTCTAAAAAGAATGTTGATTTCATGATTAAATAAATATAATACATACATCCAATTCTATCTTTTTGAAACCCAATAAGTCCCTACTCCCATTCCTTTGGGATATTTATTTTTAGAAGTTTACAGTCATGGCTGCCAATATTCTTCCAGCATGAATGCAGGGTGCAGGTGATATTTGAAGCCCTAAGCAGCTTGGGACACTTCTTCCTATTTATTACTCCCTTAGGGCTGAGGTTTAGTAGAGGAACTGACCTCTGTTTCCCATCAGGGCAATACAGTATGTGAGAATGTGGGACAGAGTCTTTTCAGCTGTGGCATCCCTGCTGTGCAATGCCCTCCTATTGAAGGTCCAATTGGCATTAATACTGGCTTAATTTCTGTGCCAAGTGAAAACACAGTTGTTTTTTAAAGGTTTGGGGGCTTAACTGATGTCTGTGCACATGGTTTAAAACTATTTCAGCCTTTTAAACCTGTTTTAACTTGTTTAATTGTGTAATATTATTTTAGTCTATTTGAATTATTAACTTCTTTGTTTTGAGCTGCTTAAATAAATTATCCTTGGATGTTCCCTTGTGGTTTTGTGATAGAAGGTGGGATATAAATACTTTAATAAATAAATGGTTTTGTAATAAGTGAATTTTGTTGGAGTGGAACAGCCAATTTTCTACAGCCAAAATTGGATGAGCTAACTGATTTGCCTTGGGATGAAAATGGCTGGTCCTTTTCTGGTATTCATCTGGCATTTTTAGTCCCTCTGTATGCAATGTTGAAAGGAAATATTCAAGGACAGTAATAAATAGAATTTAAGTGCTGTACTTTTCTTTCTTAGCCCCACATAAGTAAATCCAAATCCAATCCAAAGTGTAATTTAATGCACAAACAGTGGGGGTTTCAGTAAGGAAACAAACAATTAAACACACATGAATGGCAGCAAAGGAGAGCTGTGGAAAAAGTAGCAATGGAAAGGACATTTTCCATTATTTGTTCCCCAGAAGAAAAATGGGGGTCCCTGATAGCCTGTAAATTCCATAGGGAAGATAATTGAGCAGCAAGACTTTGGCAGTCTGTATTGATATTCACATCTCCTGAAGTACTTGTGTTGTAGGCAAATCTGGCCTCCTCCTAGCCTCCACCTGAGAATCCCAATTCCTATCCTACTGCATCCCAGTTAACATATGACTGACCAGGAACAAAGGAGCAGGCCTGCATAAGGATGACTCAACTGTCACAAGTGAAGGGTCTCTTAGTAGTTCTCAGATATTGTGGGAACATGGGAATACTTTGATGGCTGTTGACCATTGCAAGATTAGGAGTTTGTTGTTATGCTTATGGTGAGTGTACTACTTAGCAGTGATGCTCAAATAGGAGGAAGAATAGACTTTTCTATGCTCACAAGTAATGGACCCCCACAACATTAAGTATGTAATTTGAGGCCATCTTGCTGTATACCAATTGTTGGCAGTTGGTCTGTTATAAGCATGGCTGGCACTCACTCTTTGCACTCAAAGATAGTTGTCCTTAGAGTCCCAATGAAACATGTTGGGACTTTCAAACATGGGGAGAATTCTGTACGGGAAATATTTATCTGCCCCTCAGGGGCAATGAAAACATGGTCCTTTTAAAAAATAAATTTAACAACTGGCAACTTCTGTTTTAGTGCAATGAGTAACATTTACTTGTCAGTTTAAAACACTGGAGGGTGCTCACAATGACCATTTTCTGTTTTTAGGTTATTTAAAAAACAGTAAAATAAAACAGCTAAACAATATAATAAAATAACAACTAATGTGCTACTTCGTGAAACTAATCGGTAACATTCAACGTGTGCTTTGCTTAAAAATAATGTTCCAAGGTCTAATCATCAGTGTTTATTCATGACTACAATCTAATCATCCGGTACTCCAAAATTTAGGGTCAAATTGAAGAAGGGACTTTGAAAGCATTACTGTCTGCTTCTCCCAACATTTAATCTGTTTGTGAAGGAATGGCAGGACATCTTTAAAGAAAGTTCTCTTTTTCATCCATACTGCAGGCCCAGCTTTACTCATTCTGTTTGAACAAAATGCTATAAGAGGAGAAATCATATGTTAGGTGAAGAAAAGGTTGATACTAATATGCAAAGAGAACTTGTAGCACCTTTGAGACTGTGCGAAAAAAGTTGTACCATAAGCTTTTGTAGATTTGGTCTTGCATCTGAGGAAGTAGACCTAGACTACAAAAGCTTGTGCTTCTTTTGCACAGTTAGTCTCAAAGGTGCTACTAGATCCTACTGCATACTGATATTCCAGACTAATATGGTGATGTCTCTGAATTCTACCCAGGTTGATAATAAGAGTGGTGAAATTTATCATGAAGATCTACTAACTACTAAATTACATTTTACCTAAAATCTAGGTCCACTGCCCTCATGCCTTTCCCAATTGGTTGACCCAGAAGCAGATCTAACCTGTTTCCCAATGCGTGCCTGCCTTGCATCTTTGACATCACACAGATTGCCCCGTATTCTCAGGGGCTATACAGATGGCCCCTTTCCTTGCTGGATCGGGGCTGTGGCAACTGCACACCACAGCCCCGATCTGGCCTTTCTGCATCACAAAAAAGCGACTCCTTTTTGTGCCGTAGAAAGGGCGCCTTACCTGAGGTGGCAGGGGCTTTTCTTTGTTTCTTCAGCACAGCGCATGTAAACGCTGCACTGAAGACTTGGCGTGACGCCGCCTGCTGTGTGGTTGCTTTGGCGGTGTCATGCTGGCATGGGGATGGAGTTGGGGCAGCCGGTGTGCAGTTGCCATGCCCCCATTATGCCCCCACGCCAGCTCTTTATTCCAGTCTGTATAACCTCTTAGATTCTGACCCTTAAATCTTGGAGAATCTAATGTTACTGATGGGGCAATCCAAATAAGCCCATTAACTTGGCAGAAAGGCAGTCTCTTATGTTTCTGCCCATGAAACTCTAGGGAAAGGAGGCAGGCATGTGATGTTTGACTTCAGGTTTCTTTTTTCAGTTTGCTTGTTTCTGGATGTTTAAAATAAGTTCCTTACTTCTTCATATCTGTCAAAAACAGCTCCATCTTGTAGAAAGGACGGAACTGGCTTCTGCCAGTTAAATTCATATGGTTTTGCCATTGTTTTGAACAACTACCCTGAAAGAGAAACAAACAAGTAAAATTAAATTTTGAAATATGAACTAGTGAAGACTACTGGGACTATTTTATTACCAAATAAGGAACCAAAGTATACTGTTCATTACAATTTTTCTTGCCAACATTTATTAACTATTATAGTTAATACCTGAGAGAGTAAAAACATCAAATTTATACAGCCATTTCTGTATCAAATGTGTTGATATATTAATGCCTAAACCAAGCAATTTCTCCTAGAAAAAAATCACAGTATGAACTTTCACAATTCAGTAAATAAACAGTCAGAAGAAAGTTAACATGTGCCCAGCAACTCCTTATGTGTGTGTATATAAATATTAGACCTTGGGAAAGTTCCTTTTTTTGGACTGATGTTTCCTGAATCCCTCTGTCAGTATGTGGTCCAAAAAGCAGGGGGCATTTCATAGTTCTGGTTCAAATTATGGCTTGGATCCTAACCTTTCTAAGCTCTGTAAATATGCTGTATATATCAAGCTTTTTAAAAATGAGTTGGCCATCCATCTAACCCAGCAGTGCCTTGACTGACTGGTAGCAGCTGTCATGCAAAAGCCTCCCTGTCACAACTACGTGAGATACATTAAACTGAAGTTGACCTTGGACCTTTTCTGTACAAAATTGGTGCCTTATTACCGATAAGCTTTCTTGCTGTCCTTTCAAGTGAAATAAGCAACCAGGTGTAGAACTTTTTGGCCAAAGCTAGAGAAGACACTGTTCAAGTGAATTAGCCTTATGAGTTTTTTTTTGCTTTTTAAATAAACATCTAGGTAATTAAAGAAGCTGGATTTAAGCTGTGGTGGGGAAGAAAATGGTGGAAGGTTAACATTATTGCACTGGAGAAACAATTGCTACTTTTCTTTAAGGAAAATTTTAAATTGTTATGTGTTTTCAAGTCATTTCTGACTTATGGTAATCCTAAGATGAACCTATCAAGGGGTTTTCTTGACAAGATTTGTTCAGAGGGGGATTATCTTTGCCTTCCCCTAAGAATTGGAAAAGTGGCTTCCCAAAGACATTCAGTGTTTTTCTGTGGCTAAGCAGGGATTCAAACCCTGGTCTCTAGAGTTGGAGTCCAACATTCAAACCACTAAACCATGCCAGCTCTCATGGCTTAATAATGGGGGGAAGCAGATGGCGCTTTGCACCATCTTGGAGGCAAGGAAGGGGAGGGGCATCCTCACGCTGGGCGCCCCAACCCCTTCCCGAACACGTCATGAGAGCACCCGGCGCTCTGCACAACCAGCGCTCTGACAACATACTTCCGCCGCAGCGTCTGCACACGCTGTGGCGGAAGAGACGCCGAAGGTGCGCCCAACATCTCTTGCGGTGCACCTTCGGCGTCTTGCGGAAGGAGCACTATTTTAGTGCTCCTTCCAGGGCCTGAGAAGCTGGGGGTTGGGGCCGAGGAGTGCGGCTACCTCTACCCCAATCCACAGCTTCCTGGAGCGGCCCACGGCTGCCCGTCTGCTTAGGCCCAATGACTTCTTTCATGTGTTGGGTTGGATCTAGACTTGTCCTTATATAATTGAAAAATTTTCTTTTCATCCAAGCAGAGTTGGAAAGTTGCTTTATTTGGAATACAACTCCCAGAATCTCCATGCCAGCCTGGCCACCAGCCACAAAGCTTTAAAAAGCAACTTTTTCAATTCCTGCTGGAAGACTCAGTGGAGGTATCCCACTGGAAGCAGGGGGTGTGGAGAGGTAATTTGCAGCAATTCCCCCTTCGCTCTATGTAGCTAATTCCTATACAACACAATTCCCTATACAGGTGGCCCTCCATATCCACGGATTCTATATCCACAGATTCAAGCATCCATGGCTTGAAAATATTTTAAAATATATATAAATTCCAGAAAGCAAACCTTGATGTTGCCATTTTATATAAGGGACACCATTTGCCTATGTCTTTGTATATAATGAGACTTGAGCATCCACGGATTTTGGTATCCATGAGGAGTCCTGGAACCAAACCGAAGTGGATGTCAAGGGTTCACTGTATTGCTAATTCAAGAGTCTTCTCCAGCCTGCTATAGCAGGTTTCTTAAGAAAAGATGGGATAAGTGACAAAAAACACAAGAAGTCCCAAATAAAGGCCATTTGTCTTTAGTAAACATTTGTTGAGAAATACACAAACCCATCAGGCTATATTATATGAATGAATTGTTCATTTTAAGCTACTGAAAATTAAGAGATAGAATGTCCACCACACACCTCATGCTCTCTGGCAGAAAATGTTCCTACTTGACCTAAGTATTTTTTTTAAAAAAATCCTTAACATAAATGGAAAAACTTGTTGACTTGTTGAAAAAAATAACCTTGTATTTATTTATGGGTGTTCTCTTCAAAAAGAAAGAAAGAAAGAAAGAAAGAAAGAAAGAAAGAGACAGGAAATCTAAGTTAAAATACACAACCAGAGGCCAGAAAGTATGGGTAGCACAAGAAGCTGGAGGTAATACACATAATTTAATGAACTTGTGATCTCATCATACAGACACAGTTAACAAACAAGAGAACAAAACAAGAGAACAGAATCAGCCAAAAGAAACAGACATGGATGCAGTTCTGATGTGACAATGAGAAATGGTACAAGAACACAGAATTTTCTTTTAAATGAACTAAAAACAGGTTCAAAATTTCACAACAGCAACAGCAACTGGTCCTAACTGACTGTGTTGTGTTAGCAAGTGGCAGGCAATGTTAGCAAGGAGAGTACTGAGAAAGCTGCTCAGTTAGATCCTAACAAACAAAACTTTGTCTACAGAATTTATATATAGTTCTCTGATTTAAGAGACATTTGGAAGAAGAAATGAGAGTGGCATTTTACCTTGAAGCTACTGAAAGGCTTTGCAGTCTGTGCGAGGGGGGAGACAATTAATAGACACAGCATGTCAGCTAAAGCACAAGCGTGTGACCTTCAGAAAATTATGATTTAGATTAGAAGTTACCAAAGGAGTTGTACACTCCTTGGTGAAAAGGAGTCAATACAAACTAATGATTCTGTCTACTAATGAAAATAGTTCAGACCTTTAAAGAAGAAGCAAACAAATTATTGACATTTGAGTATAAACTCTCTCTTGTAAACTTTAATGCCAAGCAATTAGTTCTGGGACAAATGTAGGAACCATTAAAGAAGGAACAGATAATGCCTTCAACTCTCCCTTCACTACCCACAACTACCTCCTCCTCAAAATTCCTTAGGGATAATCTCAGCTCTGCCTCAGGCATTATCTAGACCCAGATCTTTAATTACTATATTTTTGAAAATGCTACAGATCAAGTTTCTGCAATACCTTCTAAATGTTTATTCATAGGATATTTTATAGTTTAACGTTATTGACAGGGACTCCTAGTTTGATCAAGTATTAGATGAAACCAACAATTAGCAAAGAGATTTGTTTGATTCTTCAAATGAAACTAAGGTCCCAACCACATTGCAGAAATAA